GACAGAAAAAAAATTCCAAATACAATATAATTAAAGCTTAGCATAAAGGGATGTGGCCCAAACCATTGGCACAACAAATAAAAAAAGCATAATCGCACAAAGCATAAAGTGCATATATTAATAATTATGTTACAAAAAAAAAAAGATTTTACAGAGACCTCGAGTGGTTTCTTTTAATACTGAACTCCCTAAACAACTTCATCTCCTGCTACAGTTTTAGACTCCTATGCTGAGTTCAAATTTAGTGGCTTCCTTTTGCCCAATTTGAAGGACGGTGTATCCTACGTGGCCTTGGGTATCCCAGGATTCATTAAGAATCCAAGCAAGTCCGCTGCTCCATGCTCAGAGGAAAAAGATAAATGGTGCCGAACGGTGGTAAATATTGTAAGTGCGGATTAATATAATAAAAGTATGTGAATAGATCCACCTGAACTAAATTTAAATAGTTGTTTTAAATCGTTATTGAGTCAGACATGTGAAGGATAATGTGTGGTTTATTGAAAGATTTCATCTGTTCCCCTGCAAATTATTTTGGATGACATTTAAGCACAGATTCTAATACATCTGCAGTGTGGGGACTATAAGTCTGATATTCATGAAGACGGTATGCTGCTGCTGAAGCTCCCTGAACATATAAATTGCACCCAGAACAGTAGTGAGAAGTTCTGTATCCATTCAAGCCTGCTCTGTGTGTGTCAATGTGTCATTCACAGACCTGTACTTGTAATTCAGTCTTGATGTAAAATCTTGAAATTATATGTAATATGTAATTACCACAACAATGTATTCAATAAATCTATATTACATGTACATAATCAATTTAGCAATTTTGGCACATCTGTATTATTATGCTGCATTACACCTTACTTTTGTTGTGAGTTATTCGTATAATATGTTATACTACTTGATTTATTGACTTTATGGACTTCATACTGAACATGCAACGGGGTGTGCCTGTTTTTTTTTTATCATAGGTGATAATAATCTAGTAATCCTACGAAATACCATGTGTGTGTCAAAGTGAGGAATTTATCTTTATTTTAAAAGTCTTATGCCCCCTGAAAATGAAATGTTGCTGTAGAGCAAGTATTGCTTACAAAGGTGACCGGTCTAACTATGGAGTACCAATATAATAATATAATATAATATAATATAATATAATATAATATAATATAATATAATATAATATAATATAATATAATATAATATAATATAATATAATATAATATAATATAATATGATATGATATAATATAATATAATATAATATAAAATATATTGCTAGTGTTGTTAGACAAACAATGTTAGAGTAAAAGTTTTTCTGAAAACTATCTCTCTGCAACATACACAAATATTCATAACCGTTTTTATAGTACCTCTATCTGTTCATGATTTTCTTCTTTTTCTTTTCCTTTCTTACTTGGAAAGTTTTGGTCATTTTTTTTGCCTTCTGATGTCATGTCAGATCACTCAGCCCCGTCTCTCAGACAGCAGGTAAATGGCAATCAGTCAGAAGGGGGGAGGGGGGTTAATTACATATCATTTCTATTTAAAGGTTTTACTATACAGTAATGTGGAATAATTCTTTTCATACTAAGAAATAATAGTATTGTTTTTTTTGTATGAAAATAACTGTAAAAATATAAGTTCCACTTTTATTTTTCTTCCACTCCCACCATCACAGCGCCCCCTGGTTGAGTGGCGCCCTTAGCATTTACTATTTTATTTATTTGTTCCCAAGAAGGATCCTTTATGACAAAAAACTTTTATGCTTCTTTCACAGTTATTAATATTATTATTTTTGTGTGTGTGTGTGTGTTTTATTTGCTCTATGCAGATAATAACTTGTTCAATGATAAATATAATATTCTTAGCCTTAAACTGTACAGTTTCTGTCTTGCTTTGATCTGCTTTGTGGGATCTATTAAAAGATTTCTCTGTACAATTATTTTCTTCTGATATTTTACAACTTTCACTTGTTGCATTTCCACGGCCTGTTTCCTGACCTCACATTCCGAAAAGGTCCCCCTGGGCTGCCCTCTACAGTTTGAACTAGTGTATTCGTCCATTTACGTTCTTTTTATCTTGGTTCTCCTCACATTATGGACGTGTCTGTTTGCCTTTAAATGCTGCAGCAACATGTCAATACCTCTGGTATTTATAACACCCTACAGGAGGAGGGATGTAAGGTTAACAGGGAAACCCAGACATCCTGTTTTGAATCTCTCTGGAAGAATAGCTTCTCCAGCTCAACATCCAACACTTTCCAGCCTCTCTCCCTCAACTGTTCTAATGTTAATTGTTTGGCTGTGACACCATCCTGGAGAGAAATATCAGCTGGGGTGCTGCATCAACACCTTTGTTTATAGATGTTGGAGCTTGGCCTGTTTTTCAGTGTAGTCCTTTCTCTGAGCCCGGTTCTGCTGGAGGTTTCTTCCTGTTAAAAGGGAGTGTTTCCTTTCCACTGTTGCTACAAGCATGCTTAGTGTGAGGGATGCATTCAAGTCAGTGAGCTAATGCAATCAACTGGGATTCCTTAGATAGAAAACTTTGAAGCAATTTGACTGGATGATCTGGTTAAATTGTAAAGTGCCTTGAGATGACGTGTGTTGTGAATTGGCATTATATAAACAAATTGAATTGAATTTTGCAAACTTCTCCTCCCAAAATATTGCATCTCATTTTCCCCAGATATTCCCACACAGGAATAGCTTAAATAACTCCTTGAGTTTGCCATTTTTGTCTCCAGCTTTGACCTGCCATGAGGTGATACATCGGTTAATGCCAAAAGACCAGTTGTCCATAGTTAAATGAGAGTTTACACTGTGGAACCTGTTTTTTTTTTTTTTTTTGGTACCAAATCTGTCTCTGAACTGCATCTGTGGAAAAGACCCATCAGTGCATAAATTTGTGCAGGTGTGTGAATGGGTAAAGAACTAATTGTAACGTAAAGTGTTTTATGGTCCTTTATTGTCCATTTAATAAGAATTAACAAACTAAAATGGGATAAATGGCCAAAAACATTTAACTGATTTCCAAGTTAACTCAGTAACTTACATTTAATGCTCCAACATTTAATTTTCTACGTATTGGATTCTTGTTAATTCTAAATTTACTGAATTAGAAATATTTTTTTTCTAATTTAATTTGACCAATATTTTTCTTTCAATTTCAGTTCCTTCCAACTCAGACCTGTTGTTGATTTCCCTTCTTCATTCCCAAGAAAGTCATCATCATGTCCTTCTCATCTTCATCTCGTGAGTTTATCCCACTTTATTCACCTTTTCAATAGATACATACAAAACATAATTTATTTTTTTATATCTTGTGTTTTCTTTCACATTTTAAGCAATTATTTGCATGTTTTCAGCTATGGTGGTTACATGTGTCATCAGTCATTAGAGATAACAAGGGATGAGTCTCCTTGATGACGAATTTTGATCCAATGATCCTAAGAGATTAGTTTTATCTCAGGCCCACAGCATGACAGCTGTTTCAGGTCGCTTCACAGCATCTCTGCTGGGGTTAGGTCCAGATTATATGCAGGTCACTTTAGAACCTTTATTTTATTTTTTAATTAATCAAGGTGTTATCAGATATGCTTGTCTTGTCTCCTTAAATTCTCTCCTAACTGAGGAACCTTTTCAAATGATATAACAAATTTATATTACCTTTTGATGTTTGTTGATTTTATATATATATATATAGTGTATGTTTTTTAAGCCCTAGTTTAGATCAAGCTGCTTTTCATGAATGGTATTTGTTCTTTATGTGGAGAGTAATTTCATCAATGGTCAGAGCAGGGCTTGAAAAAATACAACAAAAACAAAGAGGCAGGCACTTTACTCACTCAGACCCTCCTTCGCTGCTTGTATCTTTACTTAAAGTTTATGTTGTCCCTAAACATAGCAGCAGCTACTAACCAGAGAGAACAGCACATGTCCCTATAATAAGTACAATTTACATTTTTACTTAGTCAAAATATGTCCAAATTCCTGCTGCAAAAACTTAGTTTACTCACAAATCTTATATGAGACATTATTAGTAGAACATCTTGCTTTACTATAGTTTTGTACACTATGAGTTGATGAGCAAGACTGTGGAGCAATCAGACAATATAGTGATATTAAAATATGAATAATCTGAACTAAAACAGTTTTATGTGGGTGTATGTGGGTGTATGCATAGTGATTTTATTATAGGAAAACCATAAACTCAACACAAGATCAACGGTTTTCATTTTTGTAACAGAAGCAACTGAAAAAAAATGCAGCAGTAAACAAAAAACAAATGTATTACTTTGCAGGCTGAAGTGACAGATTTATGTGAGAAAAAAAGAAAATAAAGGCAGACAGACTGAAGTGATTTAGAATAGTGTTTATTTACTGCTTTACAAATCTGCCATTAAAAAAAAAAATAAGGCTGGGATCTCTGTAGAGGGGAAAACACAGGTTAGTGACCAGGTAACTCTGATGGAGGACGATTACGAGTGTGGGTCACAAACCAGCGTGAGTCCAGGGAAAGGAGTGGAATCCAGCGCGAGGATTATTCACAGCATGCGGCAGATGCTGCCCAGAGAGTTCCAGAAGCCAAAGCCAAAAGGTTGCTGAGTCGGCTAACAAGCGTAAGCCTCTGAAAACCGATGAGAGCAGGTGATTTCAGAAGGAAAGCAAACCGCAGTCGGTGAGGCAAACCAAGTCCAGGCCAGAAGATCAGAGATCCAAAATGGGGAAATCCAAGCCTGGGTCAGGAGACAGATCCAAGATTGTAAGCAGGCAGAATCCAGCAGGAGTCTGAAGACAAGTTAGGCAAACAGATCACAGAAGAATCTGGCACTGATGAATGGGAGCGAACAGTTTAAATAGAAGCTGGCACAGGTGGATCTGATGAGTGGTAATGAACCATTAGTCCAGTCATCAGTACCAAGACCAGGACAGTTTTTTGAGCTTTATTACAGTAGTATAGTAGTATTATTCTTGATGTTTTGTTCTCACAGGTGCTGGTCGTTGTAAGGGTCCATCTGGAAAACTTATTGACAAGGTAAGAAATGATTAACTCAAAATATTTCAGTGTTTTGCTATATTCTAGGTTTTAATCACACCATGAAATGGAGAAGTTCATTTTTTCAACTTCAAGGACATGTTCCAAATCCAAATACCTTAACTTCAAAGAAAACTTGGAGATTATGTGCAATTAGAAAAGTTTTATTCAGTTCAATTTATTTGCAAGTACCAAAGTCAGATTGGTTGGATTTAATATGGTTAATATGGTCAGATGGTAAAGATTTAACAACTAACAAAAACCAGTTGATTGCATTGACTCATTGACTCGAAAGGAATCCCCCATACTGAGCATTCACGTAGCAACAGTGGAGAGGAAAACTCCCTTTTTAACAGGAAGAAACCTCCAGCAGAACCAGGCTCAATGTGAGCGGTCATCTGCCGAGGACGACTGAGGTTCAAGTTGTTATGGAGGAGACTTACCTGAAAGGATGAGTAGAGCAGTCACACTAAAAGAAGGTCTAGTGATGATTGCAGAGAAGATGCACTGATGGTTCACTGAGTAATGAAATGGGCTGATAATGCATAGAGTGTGAAGAAAATATGCTGAAGACGCACCCAAGTAGGAAGGAAAACACTAAGAACCTGCTGAGCGGTGGATTGCGCTGATGGAGCGCAAAGAGATGAAAAGCGCTGGTAATTTCAAGGAAGAAAAAAGTGCTGATGACGCACTGAGAAATAAAATACTGACAATGCGCTGATGATGCACCGTTAGTGTGCTGGAGATGCATTGTTAGTGTGCTGATGATGCGCTGAGAGGAGTTGCACTGATGATATGCTGAGCGGATAGATGCGATGGTGATGCGGTGACGGGAGTGACACATTGATGAGATGGGATGCTCTGATGATGGTTTGGCTATTGGGTGCATGCAAGAGTATCTGCATGGTTCAGAAATTAAGAAGAGATTAAGCTAAACGAAGGGACAACGAAGTTACCTAGGCTTACCATCACATGTGATTTGCTGAGCAGGTTAACCTAGTATCTCAGCAATGAGGTTATGATTTTTTTTGTTATTATTATTATTTAAATAATAATACATTTTTAAAGCTACAGTGTGTAACTTTTAGCAACATCTAGCGGTCAGACTGCAGAATGCAGCAACATGAACATCTCCCCCCCCACCGCTTTCCCCCCCCAACAGTACGGCGAGCGTTACGGGACAGAATGTCTTCCACGACGTCCGCATCACCTACCTTCTCAAGTGATGAGGTTTGTTTACATAGATAATTTTACAGATAGTATTCATTAGTCTGTGTAGGATATAGATTTCATGTAGACTTAAGATAATAAATATACCCGTTATTTTTTCTACATCGTTGTGACGTTTTGGCGATCTCACAATCGCTAGTTTGTTGGCCCTGCACTGCCGTAGCGCAAAGATGTCTGCCTCCATGGCTGCGAGACCCGCTCCTATTTAATTATAAATAACGAATTCTAAGGCAACGCAAATATTAAGGTTAAGAGGCTGAGCTCGTAGATGATGATAAATATCATAGTTATGTATAATATATTACATTTCTGACTGTATATCCCTGTAATTATTACACACTGTAGCTTTAAGAATCTACACATCTGACACTGAGTCCTATAGTGTTATATGGAGCAATAGGGGTGAAAATTATAATTTACATTACCTATAAATGTGCACTCATTTATGCATGGGGCAACAGTGAGAGAAAAGTAATCGATATCCACAATGAGCATGAATAACACACTGCATGACATTCCATTTATAATGAATATGCTCACCTGCAGCAAATGAGGGCTTTAAAAATTGACCTTCCTCTTGATAAGGAAGAGGGTTCAGAAGCAAGGAACGATGTTAAAGAGAGCATGGAGCCTTGGAAAAAAAATCATCTCACCTGTGGAAATCAGTAAGGCTGGGCATACACTGTGCGTTATCTTCAATCTTTGTACTCAGCTACAGTTCAAGCTGTACAATGAAACCACAGTGTTTTAAAGTTCACAGCTCACGATGTATGTCCTTACACTGTATGGCCATGCTCTGATGCGATCTAACTGCACGTCCAAAAACCACATGTCGGACTCAGCCCTGGGAGATTGTCGGACTTGTCAAAAAAGGAAGAAGAATTCCCTTGTTTGCACATATGCAGTGCTTCTGCTTGAACAGAAGCATGTGTCTACGCACACCTTACGAGGGCCGCTTCCTGATCAGGAGGTGGTCGTGAGAGGCTGATCGCCACTCGTTACCCACTGTATAATAAAGACGCAGGATGCACCATGAGGCTGGAATTCAGCCCATTCAAAAACATTGACGGGCGTGTGCCAGGCTGAAGGCAGGAATCGGGAATGAAAGAGGTGAGCATGAGAGAGGATTGGGTGAGCCAGCGGGCATATGACGTAGCAGAGCCGGGGAGGAATGTGGATGCTGAAAGAAGAGAGACCTGGATCCACAAGGCACTGAGAACTTTGGTAGATGGATTCAAAGTTTGGCTGAATAGCTGAATGGAGAAGCTTTGACTTCATCTTAAAGAAGTATGTCTTGAGAAATGATTGATAAACTGGCAAAATGAAGAACAATTCTTCAAAGAAATAAACCACTGGTTACATTATAAATCAATCTAAAATTAAAACCAGTGTATTATTTTCCAATTCTAATTTGAAATGTCTAAATTTGGTTGATTATGAAAGTGCACAGGTCATTTATAAAGAGAAATAAAATCTACAGCCAGAAAAGAAATGTTTAGGGAAGGAAATTTTGGATAAAACCTAAACAGAGATATGAATTTTATAAACCAAAAATAATACATAAACAAAAAGTAATTATCAAGCTATGGAGGCACTTTGTGGAACGGCTTGTTTACAGATATTAAGTACATCCTTTATACTTAAGGTATTTTATTATTAGTATAGTACTTAGTTTATTATTAGTATTTAGTTATAGTATTTTTTTCGCCAGATTCAAATAAAAGAATCTCTATCAGAACAAAATCCCCATAAAATCACAAAGTCATAGTTAGGGTTGCCAACTCCCTGAAAATAAAAATGGGACACCTCATGTGCGTGACAGCTGACCCAACTGCCTTTACCCCTCCTGGCATGGTGATTTGTTTTAGCCCCATTTGTGTGTGAAATGTTTTTTTTTTTTTTACAATTTCACTCAAATCTGTATTGAATTAGATGCATATTTGTGAGCGACCATCTTCCCACAGCGTCTGATGGGCAAACTGGAACAGCTGGGATTTAATACAACACTTCAAAATTGGCTGCTGGACTTGCTCACCAACAGACCTCAGTCAGTCCGGGTCGGAAAGACAACCTCTGATGTCATCAGTCTAAGCACAGGCTCCCCTCAGGGCTGCTTCCTGAGCCCCCTTCTGTTCACCCTGATGACACATGACTGCGTCCCCAGGTTCACCACCAATCACATGGTAAAGTTTGCAGATGACACCACGGTGGTGGGCCTCATCAGAGACGACAACGACCAGGACTACAGAGAGGAGGTGGAGCAGCTGGTGGACTGGTGCAAAGATACCAGCCTGATCCTGAATGTGGAGAAGATCGAGATCATCTTGGACTTCAGAAAGAACCGGCCTAACCACGCTCCACTGCTCATCAACAGCTCAGCTGTAGAGGTGGTCAGCAGCACCAAATTCCCGGGAGTTCAAATCACAGACTATGTCACCTGGAGTGGAAACACCACCTCACTGGTCAAAAGGGCACAGAAGCGCATGGACTTCTTGCGGAGGATGAGGAGAGCCCACCTGCCCCCCCCCATCCTCACCACCTTCTCCAGAAGCACCATAGAGAGCGTTCTGACCAGCTGTCTCACTGTGTGCTGTGGAGGCTGCAGCGCCTCAGACTGGAAGAAAAAGAGAAGAGTGGTGAGAGCAGCAGAGAAGGTAATTAGGGCTCCTCTTCCCTCCATTAAAGACATTTCATCCCAGCGCTGCGTGTCCCGAGCCCGTAACATCATCAATGACCCCTCACCCACCCACCATGGACTGTTCTCCCTGCTGCCCTCTGGGAAGAGGCTTCACAGCATTCAATGCAGGACCAGCAGGTTCTGCAGCAGCTTCTTCCCCACTGCCATTAGACTGCTGAATGTTTTGTAAAAGGGATTATTTTATTGTATTTTATTATATGTTATTATTAAAGAAAAAACTGAAATGTTAGAACTATAAATATAGTCATATGTTTATATTACTGTTTTATGTGTTTTTACTGTTTTTCAAGGCTGCACTGTAAAAAGAAAATTAAATTGTCTAGAGAGCTGTTCTAAATTAAATGTATTTTTGTTTACACTTTGTGTATACAAAATTACAAAACAAATCTGTCTAAGAGTATCGCTGACAGTAATAGCATAGGTCTAAATAAATAAAGAAAAACATGAACATAGCACCAATTGAAAATGTTGTTAATTGGGGCTTGACTGACTGCTAAATGAGCTCAGAAGTAGATTCGGCTACAGAGTCAAGGGGTGTGAATAAGCACAACGAAAAAATGATGATTAGTAGTTGTATATTTATTTTTCTAATAGAAAGAGTATTGGTTACATATACATGTTAATGAGCTATATTATATGATTTATATGGATATGAATTGATATAATATACACACAAATTAGATGATCAATATAATTTCAAAGAAAAAAAAAAAAAGACCAAAAAAAATTTTGAAACAATTCAGTTCAGTTAATTACAGTTCATGAGGTCCATTGGGAAACCAAATTCAGAGGATCTGGGTTTGAACAAAACTTTTTCCTACCACACTCTAGCAGTGGTTCTCTGGTAGCTCGCCACCCAATGGACAGTCAAAGGAACAGCACACAAAAAAAAACCTGACCTGAAATCAGGCCAGAATCTTAAATTAGTAAAATAATAAACAATAAACTTAGCGTTGGCTGCTAAGATTAAGAGTAAGATTAATCTTACAGCGTTGGCTGTAGCAACTGTGGAGCATTCTGTTTGGGTCAGGGATCCGCCCCCTTTTTAAACGGACAGGGCGCACTACTCTCAGATTGAACCCGGAAGTAGGGCCTTATGTGCTGTGGGTTACACTGGGTCCATTGTTTGCACTTGGAAACTGCTGTAGAATCACACCTAAACAACTGACATAATCATTGGGCATGCACAGACAGCAAATGCAGAGAAAAACAAAGCATTATGGTGGTAAAGAGTTGCATGCAGGTTACAGAAGTAGGTTCAGTTACAAGGTTATCATTAAAAACAGACAAGGCTCACATGCTCACACTGATACATGAAACCAGAATTTTCTGGCCCCAAAAAGTCCCCTCCATTTGAATACAAACTTGAACAGTATAATGTCTAATCTTGTGTTTGCATGTGGAGCCAATGGCTAAAAAAATTTAATGATGTTTTGATCTTAGACTTATATCAGCCTTTTCAATGGTATGACATTATTCCCTGTTGATGTACATGGTTGAATTGTATTTTCTCTCTTTCATCCATAGAATGGAAGAAAACCAATGCCTGGAGATATGATTGAGATTTTTCGTGATCACTATCAGCACTGGGCTGTCTATATTGGCAATGGCTATGTTGTCCATTTTGTAACAGAAGGTGAGTCCCTTAGATGGTAACGTCTCATTCAGTTCAATGCCTGCAAGTGCTTGATATTGGTGGGTGTTATTTAGTTAAAGAATCGATGAATAACATAGTGTTTAAAATGAAACATACATACATATATATGTCCATCCATCCATTTTCTGTCACCGTTTCATCCCAAGTGGGGTCGCGAGGGGTGCTGGTGTCTATCTTTAACTGTCAACGGGCGAGAGGCAGGGTCCACCTTGACAGGTCTCCAGTCCATCGCAGAGCAACACAGAGACAAACGGGAAAAACAACCATTCACACACACACACTCAAACCTAAGGAGAATTTAGAGAAGACAATGAACCTAACAGTCAAGTTTTTGGACTGTGGGAGGAAGCCAGAGTACCCGGAGAAAACCCACACAAGCTCAGGGAGAACATGCAAACTCCATGCAGAAAGACCCCGGACGAAAGAACCCAGAACCTTCTTAATACCAGGTGACTGCAACATCAGGAAAAAGGAACATGAGAAACTAGAGAAATTTCACGGGCTCAGAGAAGAGCTGGAGAAGAGCTGGAGAAAACCTGGAAGGTGTTGCACATGTTTTTTAAACGCCAAGAGAATCTGTATTTCTCCAACTTTTGTCCCTTCAGCCTGACAGAAATAAACGTCAGTCACCGAACACAACAACACGTAGTGTATTTTTAATTTTTCATTGCTGATATAAGAGGATGGAAACTGGCTGATAGCAGGGCACACAAATTAAGATGTCCTGCGAAGATGAGAGTGCAGAATTTCTGGTTAATCCCCTTCTAATGTAAAATATGACAGATTACTGGATTAAGGACATTTATAGTATACCACATCACACATATCAATTTTAGAGAAATTGGAAACAGTTGCTCTTTATTTCCCAAAGATATGGGAGGAGGACATATATTGCCTTTTGAACCTTTCACAAATAACAATATTTCTGTTATGTGATTTTTCTTCTATACAGCATTGCAGTCTGGCTCCAGCCCAGTGCCAGATAGTAAAGGAAGTGTGAGAAAAGATCTCTTAGAAGATGTAACAACTACCTTGACAGGGAATGCAACCCACGTCACAGTGATGAAATTGTGAAGTCGGCATGTTCACTTGAGGGTGCAAATCTGACATACAGCCTTATGAAGTACAACTGTGAACACTTTGCCACTGAGCAGCGCTATGGCAGAGCAGAGTGCAGACAGGTAGGCAAAATCACATCAATCCTTCAATACACACAGAAACTAACAAACACAGATTCACTACTAAACAATTTTGTAGTTTTATGTTGTTTTGTGGTTTTGTTTTACTTAAATGTTTCAGATACTCAAAAAATTATATTATCAGACAAAAATAGCCTGAGAACTTACAGAAAAGGTTTTTAAATTATTCTGTAATTGCATAAAAATATCAAAAAGCCAGAGCATGATTTTGCTGTCTGAGCAGGAAATACAAAGCACAGAGCATTGCTTCTAAATACTGAACAATCCTGCTTTTCAAGGGGTGGCTGCAAATCCTAGATTGTATATACGTGTTGTTGTGTTCGGTGACTGACGTTTATTTCTGTCAGGCTGAAGGGACAAAAGTTAGAGAAATACCGATTTTCTTGGCGTTTAAAAAACAACACAAAACAGAGGACCCTGTTAATGTATTTATTTTACATTTTTTTTAAAAGAGCAACCGATTAAAATGGATGTTACAAAGTTTAGATGATTATATGAGCTGTTTTTACCGAAAAATGATCAGGAGCGCCTTGAGAATGGTCAGATCCGCCTCTCTGGCTGCAATTCGCGGTCCTGACACAGGGGGAACAGATTTTCACGGGGAAACAGAATTTCGCACAAGACCTCGCTGCCTGTCACAACTCCAGTCCGGCACGCGGATGACGTCATACAGACTCTGCTTTGTTTTTTAAAAATATAAATACAAAAAATATAACCGCGGATGTCTGGGGGACAGTGATTCACCTACAGTATTTAGTAAAATGCCCTGATATGTTGCAGTACAATTAAAAGAAGAAACTCGGATTTTCTTCTTTCTTGGATGATACACCCCGTGATGTGGGATGTACCACACTTCTTCTTTGTTGCACTCACTGTCTAAAGGTATCTTTTCAGCATAGCCCTTTGCTATAATTTCATACATAAAAGCCTTATAATCATGAAATTTTGGGTTCTTTGCAGGCTTTTTTCTTTAGATTAATGGCTCTCTGCTCTGCTAGACATACCCATTACTGTAAAAATGTTCATAGCTGTTTATTGATTATTTATTCCGCAGATACACAGTATTTATATTCAATACAACCCAGACACCATATTGCATTTTATATTTCTGTGTATGATGGCTCTAATACCTACAGTCAGTTTATCCAGAACTGACCTCAACATTCACTTCTACTTGATGATTTTTATCTTGAACAGAAAGTTTCTATAAAGCTTTCCCGACGTCGTGAAGACAAGCGTCTTTAGCTGATTGTGTTAATGTGTTCTTCTTGGATAAAAAAGGATGAAAAAACATGAGGAGGTTCTGGTTTTCTGCAATTTTGGCAAAAAGATGACCAGCTCCTGTCTATCCTAGCGTAGCACATCCCTGCTACTCTATAAAGAGTTTTTGATGTCTTGGCGAGATGCAAGGACTGATGTTTGATGTGCTCTGACAATAAAATTTGTTTGTATCATTAAATTGTTGAATAAAGTTCTTCTCATAATGATTGTAAAGATTTAAAAACTATGTTTGATTGTCATGAAATGAATTTATTGAGACTGGATGCATTCCTTGAAATTTTCCAAACATTTAGATACCTTGGTTTTTTATGTTTAATTTTTCTGATTGAAATGTTTTTTTGCTTTGCAGGTCATTAAGGCTGCAGCTGCTGGCGTCACCATTGTGGGTGCGCTTGGTGGTTCGTTCATGGGAGCATCGATGATGCATTAGACCACAAGCAACTGAATTGTCAACTGCCCAAGGAGAAATTTTTGATCAAATGCTAACAGCTTTAAAGATAATTAGAAATCAAATACTGGAAAATTAGCTCAAACAAAGTCCTCTTCTTCTCCATAAAAAAAAAAAAAAAAAAAAAAAAATGTAATCTAACAAAAACTTCCAACTGTTTTTAATATTCTTTTTTTGTTTCTGCATTTTTTATTTTATTTTTTTCCTACTTGCTTTGATTCTGTTTTATCTTCCTGTATTTTAATCATGTAAAGCACTTTGCATTGTCTTTGTACTGAATTGTGCAATACAAATAAATTTGCCTTGCCTTGAAGACTGTTATGTTACCACTGTAACAGTGACTTACTGCATGAATAAATCAAGAAATTGCAAAATATATCTTGTCATAAATCAAAAGCTAAACATTTAAAGTGGACCAATTGATTTCCAAATGCTTATTTCAGGAAATGCTTCATGCATCAGACGATAACCATAACCACATTCCATGGAAACCAAAACTAAACAAACCAGCAACCTACAGGAACTCGTTTCTCTTTCAAACTGATTCTATGGACATATGTCATCTTTTGATCATCTGGTTCATCCTTGAAAAATAGCTTTTTACTCTAGATCATTTCTTTAAGTAGATTCATACAGTTTTGATCCTGAACAAGTGAACAGACCACTTTGTAAAACTGTGACAATTAAATTTATTATGATGTAATTAACTGCATCAAAGGTACCGATAGTCTAAAGAAACATCTGTGGAGTTTTGTGAAAAAATAAATAAATTTACGACCCTTACATTAGAGAACTGACTACATGGAAATCTTGCTTGCTATAAAGTTCCAAAGGATAACTTAATTGTAGAAGGGAGTAGGTGTGAATAAGATCTTTGCTTCTCTCTTCTCCTTTTTGGCATCTTAGAAAATATCATCTCTGGTATCATCTCTTGAAATATCATTTCAGTGTAAAAGAAATAACATTTCCTTAAGCTTTGAAATTATACATTTTAGAGACAGGTTTTTCTAACATTTTGTAATGATCTGAGTGGCAACAGGTGTGCAGAGAACAAGAAAACCAATGGAAGGAAGGGGACACTAGGGGGCAACGAAGAGTAACTGGGAAATATAACCTAAACATAATTGTAAAATATAAATGACTAAATAAAACTAGAGCAAAGACTAAGGAATGATGAATAAGAGATAACTTAAACACCATTAAACAGTAGAAGAAATTTCAAAGATATATAACTCTTAATAGTAAAAAACAGAATAATATAAATCCAAGCCTAACTGAAAACTAAACAGATCATAAAACTAAAATTCTCTTCACTAAGTTCAAGAGAAGTTATCAAAAATAAATGATCAGATAATTCTGAGGGATTAGGTCTTTGGTTCAGCACTGGGCAACATGATTGCTCAGTAACGTAATTGTTAAGGTAAATCTTTTATATTTTTAATTGATTTATAGATACACTACTGTTCAAATGTTTGGGGTCACCCAAACAATTTTGTGTTTTCCTGAAAAGTCACAATTATTCACCACCATATGTTGTGAAATGAATAGAAAATAGAGTCAAGACATTGACAAGGTTAGAAATAATGATTTGTATTTGAAATAAGATTTTTTTTTTTACATCAAACTTTGCTCTTGTCAAAGAATCCTCCATTTGCAGCAATTACAACATTGCAGACCTTTGGCATTCTAGCTGTTAATTTGTTGAGGTAATCTAGAGAAACTGCACTCCCACTAAATAGTTCTTGCAGAATTTGGAGGTGTGTTTAGTGTCATTGTCCTGTTGTAAGATGAAATAAATCTGTACAAATCCCCCACCTTACCAGAACCAAAGCAACCCCAGACCATCACATTACCTCCACCATGCTTAACAGAAGGCGTCAGGCATTCTTCCAGCATCTTTTCATTTTTTCTGCGTCTCACAAACGTTCTTCTTTGTGATCCAAACACCTCAAACTTGGATTCATCCATCCACAACACTTTTTTCCAGTCTTCCTCTGTCCAATGTCTGTGTTCTTTTGCCCATCTTAATCTTTTTCTTTTATTGGCCAGTCAGTCAGTTTTGTAGCTTCTGTAACGAGCTAAACTGTTTTCAGATGTGTGAACATGATTGCACAAGGCAAACACATTGTACCATTAACACTGGAGTGATAGTTGCTGGAAATGGGCCTCTATACACCTATGTAGATATTGCACCAAAAACCAGACATTTGCAGCTAGAATAGTCATTTACCACATTAGCAATGTATAGAGTGTATTTCTTTAAAGTTAAGACTGGTTTAAAGTTATCTTCATTGAAAAGTACAGTGCTTTTCCTTCAAAGATAAGGACATTTCAATGTGACGCCAAACTTTTGAACGGTAGTGTAAAAGATATGATAAAACTAAACATTTTTTCTTTAAATAAATGAATAGTTTAAAATAAATAATTTCAGATTAAAAAACGTCAAAAATATGTCATTCAGAAAATACCTACAGACTAAATTATTATTAATAAGTGATAAGTTAGTCTATTATTAATAATTTGGTTGAACCTGGCAATATTTACCTCACTGACGCTGTTTGGACACAGAAAGATAAAAGTGTTAAAAGGCAGAGAAGGGAGAGATAGAGAGAGAGAGAGAGAGAGAACATCATTTTATTTGTGTTTTAATTTAATTAATTATTTTATTTCATTCATATTGATCACTTTTTTTTTTTATATAAAATCTTCTTTAACTCAGGATGGATGATGGAAAATCTCCTCTAAACCAATATGGACCATGGAGATATTTCAATATTTAGATAACAAAAGATAATTTCCTAAAAAAATATTTAAAACTACAAAAAGTTGATATAACATGGAGGATTTTCTTTATTCATCATCCTGAAGGTGAAAGGATCCTACATGTTTCTCCAAGAAATGACAATGACGACTGGGGGAAACATTTCAAATATTTACAAATATTTGAAATATTTCTATTTGAAACTGCATCATGATATATATACACTATATTGCCAAAAGTATTTGCTCACCTGCCTTGACTCACATATGAGCTTAAGTGACATCCCGTTCCTAATCCATAGGGTTCAATATGACGTCGGTCCACCCTTTGCAGCTAGAACAGCTTCAACTCTTCTGGGAAGGCTGTCCACAAGGTTTAGGAGTGTGTTTATGGGAATTTTTGACCATTCTTCCAGAAGCGCATTTGTGAGGTTGCACACTGATGTTGGACGAGAAGGCCTGGCTCTCAGTCTCCGCTCTAATTCATCCCAAAGGTGTTCTATCGGGTTGAGGTCAGGACTCTGTGCAGGCCAGTCAAGTTCATCCACACCAGACTCTGTCATCCATGTCTTTATGGACCTTGCTTTGTGCACTGGTGCACAGTCATGTTGGAAGAGGAAGGGGCCAGCTCCAAACTGTTCCCACAAAGTTGGGAGCATGGAATTGTCCAAAATGTCTTGGTATGCTGAAGCATTCAGAGTTCCTTTCACTGGAACTAAGGGGCCAAGCCCAGCTCCTGAAAAACAACCCCACACCATAATCCCCCCTCCAACAAACTTTACACTTGGCACAATGCAGTCAGACAAGTACCGTTCTCCTGGCAACCGCCAAACCCAGACCCGTCCATCAGATTGCCAGATGGAGAAGCGCGATTCGTCACTCCAGAGAACGCGTCTCCACTGCTCTAGAGTCCAGTGGCGGCGTGCTTTACACCACCGCATCCGACGCTTTGCATTGCACTTGGTGATGTATGGCTTGGATGCAGCTGCTCGACCATGGAAACCCATTCCGTGAAGCTCTCTGCGCACTGTTCTTGAGCTAATCTGAAGGCCACATGAAGTTTGGAGGTCTGTAGTGATTGACTCTGCAGAAAGTTGGCGACCTCTTCGCACTATGCGCGTCAGCATCCGCTGACCCCGCTCCGTCAGTTTACGTGGCCTACCACTTCGTGGCTGAGTTGCTGTCGTTCCCAAACACTTCCATTTTCTTATAATACAGCTGACAGTTGACTGTGGAATATTTAGGAGCGAGGAAATTTCACGACTGGATTTGTTGCACAGGTGGCATCCTATCACAGTTCCACGCTGGAATTCACTGAGCTCCTGAGAGCGACCCATTCTTTCACAAATGTTTGTAAAAACAGTCTGCATGCCTAGGTGCTTGAATTTATACACCTGTGGCCATGGAAGTGATTGGAACACCTGATTCCAATAATTTGGATGGGTGAGCAAATACTTTTGGCAATATAGTGTATATATATATATATATATATATATATATATATATATATATATATATATATATATATATATATATATATATATATATATATATATATATATATATATATATATATATATATATATATATATATATATTAAAATAGAATCATTGTGTTTCTTCCTGTTATAGGACCTAAAAGAAACTATAGAAGCTCCTAATGTTAAATCTTTTTCAACCAGTTTAAAAAAAGGAAAAAATAAATATTATACAAAGTAAATTAGTTTGATTTGATCAAGCAAATAAAATGTATTTACATAGCACATATCAGTGGCGAGACAATTCATCAACCATTTTTGACACATCTGACCAAAACTGGTTTGGATGGCGATATCTGCTGGATGCTAGGAGAACTACAGCAGAGCGGGTATCCTAATGTAGGCATTAATTCACAGCTGAACTTGTTTATTCCATAATGATAGGTGTTACGGCCCCCTGTATTTCTAGGGAAGTGGGGGCATAAACATATAGGGGCAGAAACCGGTAAGTTCTTATAAAATTATTATTTATTTGATAACAAGAGGTGCAAGCAATAAACAAACAAAAGGAGGGTGGGTGAGGGTGCTGTGAAAATAACAAAGTTAAATAAAAGAGATCCTCAAAAGGAGGATTGTACCTAACTACAGATTTTAACCAAATGGTGATTCTTACTAAAAAAAACACAGAGAGCACATCACCCACTACACCTAATGTAACTAACAAAGAAAAAACTCAGCGATGCA